TTTTTCTTTTGTTCAAGCATTTTTTAAAATTTCATACTTTTAAAAAGAGTATGTATACTATTTCTATTGAAATTTTCTATCTATCCATTTCTTACTCTTTTATAATAAAATTGATGCCCAGAATAATGTTCATTAATCTTAGTAATTAATGTTTATGAACTGCTTACTATCTGCCAGATAGCAAAGTAAGCACTTTAAATTATCTCATTATCACAACAATCTTATAAATAGTTGCTATTTTTATCCACTTTTATTCAAATAAGGAAACTGAGGCACAATAATGGTTATTTCTGGTTAGTGCAGATTTGGAGGTATTTTTCCCCTCTTTTTTGCACTTCTCTATATTGCTTCCTTGTTTAATAATGAGTACTTTTACAAAAATGTGAGTGCCGTTCTAAAAGTATATTTTTAAATAAATTACTCTTGAAGATTCCGCAGTGGTCAGTCTTGAGACTTTTTCACTTTCTATTCTGCATTCTCTCTCTAGACCATGTCATCAACTCCACAGCTTTGAATACCATCCACAGGTAAATGGCTCTCAAAATCTGTATTTCCACTGCAGGGCTTATTTCTGAGCTCCAGACACATATGTTCAACTGCCAACAAGACATCTCCTCTTGTATGCTTCATAAACACCTCAAATTCAACATGTGCAGAATCATAGCCATCACCCCAAACTGGTCCTTCGTGTTTCCTAATCTCAGTGAATGGCACCACTCTCCACCCAAACACACAAACCAGAAACACATGAGTCATTTTTTATTCCTCCCTTTCTCTCACCCTGTGTATCCAGTTCATCACCAAGTACCTGCTACCTCCAAAGTATATCCCAAATCCATCTACTTCTCTCCACTACTACTTCCTCAGTCCAAGCCACCATCATCTCTTGCAATCAGCTTCTAACTTTAAAAATTTTTGCCCCCGTAAAATTCATCCTTCTCACAGCAGCAAGAAAGATGGTAATAAACATAAAAGAAATTGTGTATCTCCCCTGCTTAAACTCTTCAACGAATTCCCACTGTTCTTAGAATAAACTAAGAAACTCCTTACCTCTTATGGCAGAAACTGCGAATTGCCTATCCAATATGTTTCCCCCTTCTATAATAAAATCAGGATTTTCTTAGGAGTCATAAGAAGCTGATTTGAAAATAAAAGCTCTTCATCCTCCATTATAGCTAGGGGTGGCCATCCAACCTAGTTCTAGCCAATAGATAAGAGGAAATCTACAGGATAGGGCTTCCAGGAAAACAGTCGCTTTCCTGATGGAAAGAGACAGACTCGGCTGTCACATGTCTTTTGCCCTTTGCATTCTCTCCTTTTGCTGCCTGGAAGTAGAACGGTCATCTTGGAAGCATGAAGATGGAAGCCATGCTCAAAGGATCATAGAACAAAAAGATAGAAGCTTGGGTCCTGAAACTTGCATGAGTCTGAACTGATGATATTGAGGCTCCTTTAAGTCAGAAAAATAAACCCTTTATTTTGTTAAACCACCATAAGCTGGTTTCTGTTATGCGCAGGCAAAAACAGTTCCTAATAGATACAATTTCATATAATATGGTCCCTGCCTACCTCTTTAGGCTTATCTCAAGCAACTCGCCTCCTCATTCACTATATTACCACCTCACTGACTTTCCTTCGACTCTTAAAACACAACCTCTTTTCTGCTTCAAGGTATTTGCATGTGCTGTTCCCTCTGGCTAGAATAATCTTTTCCCCATTCTTCACAGGCTAACTTCTACTCATTATTTAGATCTGAGCCTAAAGGATACCTCTTTAGCATGGACGTCTGATCACCTCCACGATCCAAAATAGGTGCTTTCACAACACATGAACTTTTCCTTCTTAACATGTTTCATTATTTATATATTTTTATCTATTTACAGGACTTTCGTTTTCCTTTTAGTTTAACTTCTGTCTCCCCAACTAGCCTCTGAGCTCTACAAGGTCAGGGACTGTGTTTGTCTTGTTCACTACTAAATATATATCTAGCCCCTATAACAGTGCCTGCCACATAGAGTGCTAATAAATGAAAAATCTACTAAAATTTTGTTTGCTTTGTGCCATTTATCCTGCTCTCCTGAATCAGACTTAATCACTCCTCCCTCTATGGTTCCATGGCATATTGCTTTGACCTCTGTTTTAATTTAATCCTTTTAACAAATGAGGCATGTATTAAAGGATCTTGAAGTCGGCTCAGAAGAAAAACACATAAAAACTAATTATGATGCTGTATAATAAGCACAACATTTGAAGTATGTGTAAGATGTGAAAATAGAACAAGGGAAAGAGTGATGAACTCGATGAAGTGGTAGAGATGAGAGCAGGGAAGTCTTTCAGGAGCTGGCAACAATTAGGCAGCATTTTGAAGGCTAAATGAGAATTTTCAGGTAGACAAGGGGAGGAAGGGAAATCCAAGCAAACAATATAGCATGTGAAAATACCCTGTAAAGTGAAAAGGCAGGGAGCGCCTAGAATCAATAAGGCGTAAAGTGTAAAGAAGGCATTGGAAGCATAGCGTGAGTAACATTGTTGAGGGGGAACCATCTAACACAGTAAACGTGGGTTTTTCCATAAGACTGCTCTCGTGGCTTTCTTCTCCTTCTTTTTTAAGCTTGACCAAAAAATTGTAGAACAAATAGAACCATGGCTTATAACTTCCGTAATCAATTTCATACATGAGCACATCTGCAACAATTAGAAAATTACTTTTCTTCCTCAAGATGTTAGGATGCAGATGAAGTCACACATACCTGCTCCATGGCCTTGCCCAGATAAGACACCCAGTTGGCTCTATCTCTATGGTGGAAATTGTCCAAAATCTAGGCTGGAGAGATTAGGCAGGGTCCAGACCATATAGTGTCTATGATGTCACCATAAGTAGCTTTGATTTTATAGACAATGGATAGACATAGAAGCATTTTAATCAGGGGAGAGGTTATCCTCAGGTTTGTGTCCTAGAAAAGATCATCTTGAAGGCAATGGATTGGAAGCAAGGAAACCAGTTAGGAGTCTATTACAACAATAGAAGTAGCTATGAGAACCTCAACTAAGACAGTGGAAATTGAGGATAGAGAAAATAAGATTGGGGTGATAATTCAGAGACAAAATTGACTGGATTTAACAATTGATTAGGCATTGAGGCCTAATTAGGCAAGAAAGAAAGAAATCAAGGGTCATTTGGAGGTTTCTATTCTAGGAATGTATCATCATGTCATTTAGTGAAAGAAATAATGTAGAAAGAAGAATATATTTGGAAGGGGAGATAATTCAGTTTGGAACATGTGGTATTTGAGCTATCTGTGGTTTATTCAAGTGGGGATGTCTAGCAGGTTAGATGGACACATGGATCTGGAGCCCTAAGGACATCCTAGGTTAGCGATATGGATTTGAGACTCATCAGAGAAGATGACAACCTATACTAAGGTTTTAGAAGCCAATATGGGGAGATAAGAATGGCTTTGAAAGATGTAAGAATTTAGAATCAAAAAGACCTGGTCACTAATTGGATAATGGAATGGGACAATGAGAGGGGAGTCTAAGACAAACCACAGGTTTCTGGTTCTAGAGCCTGGGTGAGTGATGGTTCCACTGTTATGGACTGAATTGTGCCCCTCCCCCACCATTCATATATTGAAGCCCTAACAACCATTGTTTTTTAATGTGACTGAATTTGGAGATAGGGTCTTTAAAGAGGTAATTAAGGAAAAATAAAGTTGTATGGATGGGCCCTAATCCAGTATGATTGGTGTCCTTATAAAAAGTGAAGATTTGGACAGATGTATGCACAGAAGGGGAATAACCATGTGAACACAAAGAAGGCCATTTACAAGGCAAGGAAGAAGGCCTCAGGAGAAACCAGCTCTGCTGAGATCTTGATCTTGGATTTCTAGTCTCCAGAACTGTGACAATATAAATTTCTGTTGTTTAAGCCACCCAGTCTATGATACTTTGTTATGGCAGTCCCACCAAACTAGTACAGCCACCAACCAAGATTGAGAATATGGGAAGGAGAATGTTTTGCCTATGTTTTCTTCCAGGAGGTTTATTGTGTCTTGTCTTTGATCTATTTTGAGTTTATTTTTGTGTATGGTGTGAGGGAGTGTTTTAACTTCATTGATTTACATGCTGCTGTCCAGTTTTCCCAACACCATTTGGTGAAGAGACTGTCTTTTCTCCATTGTATATTCTTGCCTCCTTTGTCAAAGATTAATTGACTGTAGGTGTGTGGGTTTATTTCTGAGCTCTCTATTCAGTTCCACTGGAAAAAAACAAAAAGAAGATGGGGGAAAAGTAGGTTGAGGGAAATGGATGTTGAAAGAAGCAGAGTTTGATGTGGGACATGTTGAGTTTTGAGATTCCTGAGGTACCTCAAGGTAGAGATATTCAAATGGCTTTGAAATTCAAAAGATAAAATGGGGTTATAGATGGAGATTTGGAAATCATTGATCTATAGGTTATATTTTAAAGTGTAGGAGTGGATGAGACCACCTGAGAAGTGTATATATAGAAAAAAATCATCAAGGATAGGACCATAAGGAATATCAAAATTAAGAAACATACTGAGGAAGAGAACCTAGGGAAGGAAAACAATCAGAGATATGAGATGAAGATAGGGGCAAAAAACTTTTAACCCTTTAAATCTTGATTTTGATTACAGTTAGTTGAGTACATATTAATCTCAGTCCTCAAAGAGCTTTAATATAGTGGAAAAGGCAATACCTTATTTGTTTCTGAATCTCCGACACCAAGCACAGTGCCTGACATTTAATATCCCTGAAATAAATATTTGTCAGATCAAATGGAATTGAAATTAGAACTTCATTTCTTTTGTTTTCTTTTGATTGCTTATTTCTGGAATGTGCAGCATGTACTGCGACTGATATTTTAAGTTCATAGTGAAAAATCATTTCAATGTGTCCTAGGCTTGGTTCCCTTCCAAACCAACCCCCGGGACAATAGTTTTCATTATAACCTTCTGTCTTTGCCATTCTGGATGGAATTCTGTGCACAGAAGTTATATACATATATGGGTATCTCTATGTAACAAATCGCAGCCCAGGAGCCCCCTGGGCTCCCTCAGGCTCTGGTATGACATCTTTGAGCCGTATAAATTCAGCTTCTCCTCTGGCATCTGTTAGCCGAGTCACTTGCAACTCCACCTCAGCAGTGGTCTCTCAGTCCTCTCAAAGCAGGGAAGGAGTACTGTGTGCTGAGAGACCATGGCAAAGAATCCTCCAGAGAACTGTGAGGACTGTCACATTCTAAACGTAAGTTGATTCATGTTTTTTTTCCCTTTTAAGCAGAAGCATGGTTTCACAGACTTATCGTATTGCAATCTGAACATTAGAAAGTGAAATCAAAAGTGACTTTGAATTATGGCTTGCTATTTTAAGGGCTATTGTGTATTGTTTTATTCTCTCTGTTCTTTGCTTAGGCAGAAGTTTTTAAATCCAAGAAGATATGTAAATCCCTTAAAATTTGTGGATTGGTGTTCGGTATCCTCGCCCTAACTCTAATTGTCCTGTTTTGGGGGGGCAAGCACTTCTGGCCCGAGACTCCCAAAAAAGTAAGTAAATGCACATTATTATTGAATGTTTCTGTTTTGAGTTTGATTTAATTTAGTTAGTGATTGACATGTGTATTACTCTGAGAATGAAAATCATTAAGTTCCTTTTGTGTTTCTTTTCTGGTGGTATGAAGAACTGAATCAAGATTTAACTCTTTTATTTGCCTAATTATTTTGATAAGAGAAAAAATGTGTTTTCTGCATTTGAGTTAGTAATGATAAGACGCAGAATTACCCATTCTTTTATAATGCTTGGCTTTAAGAAGTTAAGATTCCTCCTAAAAGCAAAAATTTTACTGTAAGAAAAAATACTTCCCATCTTTCTTTCAATTATCTGGGCAGAAACTGATGGAAAAGTAATTATACTACCACATAAGAAGAAACCACCAGAAATGGCAGCAAAGGATTTTCCGGGATTATGTTTCTGACTTAGTACGTCTGCTGTGAGGACCAGCAGCAAACTCCTTTTCAGAAGGAGCAGTTCTCATACCTGAATTCACATTTATTTGTGACAAAAAAAAAAAAACAGAAAACCCTAAAGCGTTTCAACTTCTTACCAGACACGATCATTGCTGTCCTGCTGAGACAGTAATGTCGAAAGGTAGAATCAAGTGACACCAAGTCAGTAATTACAGGTGTCTCAGAATGCTTCTGATTTGAAGATTATTTGGTGGCACTTTGCTGGCCAGTGTAGTTGACATTAGTGTACCTGAGTGTTATTGTTACTTCCGGGCTCACACATAATGGACACGCTTAGATGTGACCCAAGGAAAATCAGAGAGTGTTCACGCCAACAATTTCCATTTGAAAGAGAATTAATAAATGTACAAGCTAAGAGGTGTGAAGATGGTTTTCGGGTTTTGCCACATGTTTCTCTCTGAGTGTGGGATGTTGTTGTTGTTAGTGTTGTTATTCATTTGTTGTCATGGGGATGCTCATTGCGATTTGATAACAGATGTAGGAAGGGAAAGGCACAAATCCAGGAGGGAGGATGAAACACAGGAAGACAGTGGGTTGGCATGAACCAATAGGAGCCAAAGGAGTGATAGGAGCAGAGAGGAAAGAATATGGGTCAATGAGGAAAGAGAGGTGGAGGAGGGGCAGGAGGTGCTGTAGAAAATAGAAAATCAACTGGGCAAGTATCCAGAAGAAAAAAGAGAAGTAAGGCATAGCCACCTTTGCACTCTTCACCTCTGCTGCCGCACCCACTTGCATTTAGTGCCAGAGGCTACCATATCAAGTTTAAGTAGGAAGGAGGATGTTTAAGTAGGAAGAAGCAAACTTTGTTTGCTTGCATTTTTTAAATTTATACCTTGTTCCAGAAAGGATTTTAAGCCCTATGCATTACCTATAGTTAGCCTTTCCTCTTAGCTCTCTCACTACTCTGCTTCTGAACTACTTAACCGTTTACATGTCTTTCTAGAGAAGCCAGGCTAGCAAGGTGAGCAAAGCCACTGAGATCAGGAAAGAAACAGCAAGTGAGTGAGAGTGCCAAAATGCCTTCGATCCAATTTGCTATTACTTAGCTAATTCCCAAGGTGACATGCTGCCCCACACATTGAATCTTGAGTCCTCTTGACAACTACGGATGAGTTAGAGGATAAGTAACCCTCTTGCCTTCCATGGCCATAATGTATTTAACTGAGTGTAGTAGGTAGCTAGCCCTTTGACTTTCATCCATACATGCCTGCCTAACCATGGGGCCAGAGGGCGTTTTTTGTTTTATTGTAGGGATTGCAAATGCTGCTCTGAAAGAGCTTATGTGTTTTTCTAAACTTACAATGCTATTTGTCTCAGTGCAACTATAAATGATTAGGTCAGGACCTTGCTTTTATCTTGCAAGGTGTCAAGCTCACTAATGGGGCCCATGATGCCCTCCGCTTCTGTATTATATCATCTTTGCCTCTCATTCTGTCGGTTCCTTTTTAATGGATTGTAAGGAGAAATCCTGTGATTCCTTAAACCAAATGTAAAACCCGGGCAGTGCATGCACAACAGAGATGGGGTATGCTACCGAATGAAGTTTATCAAGAGCCAAATCTCTTAAGAAGTAATCCATCTTAGGATGTAATTTTTTAGCAAAGGGATTCTCAGAAATGAACAAAATTATCGCAAAGTAATCTGGTGAAAGACAATAAATAGGTGTCTCCTGAGGCAAGTTTTTCTACCATGAACAAAGGTCGTTTGTTTTCCATTCCAGTGGGGAGTCGCAATTTATTGTCTTTGATATTTAAATCCTGGCCTTCACCACAAGCCCAGGCTGGGTCCATTGCAAACCGAGGAACCAGCTGGAAATGCAGATGCTTTACTCAGTCTACTACCTTCAATTCCCAGACACAGAGCCCAAGGGAACATCTATGTTTCCAGTGGCTAAGGCTGCCAGTAAGCCTGCCTCAGAGCTGACTTACGAATGCTGGGAAGTGAAGAGTAGTCAGATTAGTCTTGGAAGAAGATTTGCAGAGGCAAAGGATCCAGGCATCTTGCACGAATTAAAGAGGCTCCCCTTAAGAGTATGGCCTGGCAAGAAACAGCAGTTAGCAAATTAAAACCCAGGCTCTTCTGGACTTCCCTTTACAAGCCTGTAGGACCTATGGGGACTGTCGGGCCGTTGGTGGCGAGAACGGCAATGCTGCTGTGCTTACAGATGACAGTGATGTGTTTGCCGTCCTGGGGCAGCCTCCAATTCTTAGTGTTCGCTCCTCTGGCCTCCATCACATCTCCTTTTTATTTATTTATTTTTTTTGACATCTGTTTATAATAAAGCATTTATTTAACATTCCACATCTGGTGTTGACATTTCCATGCCAGTAAGTTCCCCCCTCCTCCTTCCACTACCTCCCACCTTGGTGTGGACAAAAGGTCCAGAGTCTTGATCTCAAAGAGGGAGTAAGGCATGCTTGACTACTTCTCCTCACACACCTCAGGCGTGAGGATCCGCGCGCACACAGGAGGGAGGAGGGGAGGGAGGAGGGGGGAGAGGGAGAGAGAGCAAAATAAAGTGAAACAAGGAGGGCTGCCTCTGGGAGAGCTGTTGCACTCCCTTACAGGCTACAGACCCCTCCAGCCCACAGCCACACACAGGAGCCACCTGAGCTGAGTGAAAGCCAGTTCATCGAGCTCTGCAGTCAGCTCTCTTACCCGAGCAGAGGGGACCTATTCAGTCCCAGAGATTTTTGACAATGCTCCACAACGAGGCTCCACTGCCAGGCGTCTTTGAAGCAGATTCCCTAGAGAAACATTCTTGCTCAAAACTGCCTGTATTACACATTTCACTTGAAACCATCAGCAGTCCACTCCCTAGCTAATTAATCCAACATGGAGAAAACAAGGAATAAAAATGCCAGCCCTTAAATCAACAGATGTCACACAGACCTTGTAGCCTATCCCCTCCAGTCTTCTGTAGAATGACACAGGATGACAAATTAAATACATGAAATGCTGCCCTTCCTGCCTGGTGACTTTAGAGTCATTTGGAAAGCAAAAGTCCTAAGGCCCTCGCTGCAATCCACAGATTCCTGGGGACGTCCCCTCAGCTGGTACATCCTAGCAGTACGAGATGAGACGTGGTGGGGATGGGTGGGCATCCTTCTGCCATCCCCCTCACTTCACCTACAGATGACCGTTAAGAGTTTCACTCAGGATTGCAAGCCCAATATCACTCTAGGCTGAAAATCATTGCCTGGAATTTAAAAAAAGGACTTTCCTACTAAGTCTGGATCTAGCTTTCTTGGGCCCATTTCTCTAATGTTAGCATTGGCCAGAGACCAACTTTCTTCACTCCTCTTCTAGGCACACAGAGGATATGAATTTCTTCCCTGAGTTCCCTGGACTTTCCTACACAGCAGTCTGGTGGGGGAAATGTGGGTCTGGAGAAGCATTTCACACTGTCAAAGAAAGAGTTGGAGTTGGAGCTGGAATCTCATTAGCCAGGGGACTGAACTTCGTTAGATGGTGCCACGTCAGCGTTTTTAGAAAGACATCTCTTCATTTTCTTTTCCTCCCAAACCACCGCAGGAGCAAAAGCCCACCCTGGTACAGCAATCATCACGGGCCAGCTCTTGCTCTGGGCTACTGTGGAGTGGCAGCAATTGTGTAGAGCTGGCTACAACGGGCACATTCGCATTGTCCCTTCATTCTCCTAGGTCAGCTGAGCTGAGCCACTTACTTGGCACCAGCCAGAGAAACCTAGGTCTTCAAAGGGAGCTGTCCCTTAGTGGCTGAGAGGGGGATTGGGGCTACTGTTGGGGGAAAGCTGCCCAGGTAGAAGCAGTCCAATGGTCAACTCGACAGATGCCAGCCCAAATCTGAGCAGCACTGACTTTGTCAGCTATTCAACACTGCATCCGGCAAGGGGTGAGAGATAAAGACGAGAGCCAAGCCTCCGAAGCTACTTGGTGACTTGCCCAAAGGGACACAGCTTGCAAGTGGCAGAGTTGAGGTTAGGACTAGAACCTGGTCTAGGGGTTCTTCCCACTATTCTTATTTGTCTGCTGCACTTAAGAATAAGGAGTGGTGAAGGCAGTGGGGAGGGGAAAACTTCCCAGCCAGCTTGAATCTGTGGAGGAAAAAAATGTTTTTTTTCTTTCTTTCTTTCTGAAAAAAGAAGAATGTCTGTGCTGCTTATGCCAATTTTTGTCAGGGCTGAGAACTGGTGATGGAAGATGCAGAAGTCCGACTTTGCATAAGAAACAATCTGTCTGCTCTGTGTTGGTTAAAGAAATACCCAGAGGCCCTTTAATTCCCACAGGCTGGGTTGGTAATAATATGGCACAACGCATTCCCTCCCCTTCCTTCCAACCTAACACCTGCTAGCCAGCTAAGCCGAGCATGTATCTCACCTTTGGAAAGTGTACCTCATAAACAGACAGTAAAGAATGAAGGTGGAGAGCAGAACAGCGAGATTAATCACAGGCTTCAAAAGAAAAAAACGAAGCCAAATGTCCTCAAATCCCTTTCAGGACAGACTAAAGCAACTTGCCCCCAAACAGATCCATCACGCTGAGGTCTGAGGCAGCTTTACTCTTTATAAAAAGCTCTCTTTTCTGATCGCAGAGATTGTCACAAATTGAGGCCAGAAAACACAGCAAACTGTGAGAGGGGGATGTTAGGGCTCATTTGCTGCCTGAGTGGAGGATTTAACTGGACTGAGGAAAGAATACTTGGGCAGGGAAGACAAATAAGTTTGCGCTCTCTCCACGTTTTGTCAGGGTGGTCTTCTTACATCCATCACCACGTGGGCTTCACCACATATCAATCTCATTTCACTTCTGAGTCGTAGGCCACCTCATTGGCTTCCCTGTTCCACACTAGTGTTCCAGTAGTTAAAACCAGTCTTCTATGTGGATGGAGTTGGAACCCGTTTCAGTGGTGCTGAAAAGATGCCCTTGCCCCTAAAATATCTCCTATTCCTAGAGCCACTGTGCTTAAAATCCACCATTAGTAATTCATTTCTTTGAGTTAAGTATTACATTCAGTTTTTTTAAACAGACAAATACCCATCACTAATACCTTAGTGTGAAATTATTTGTCAGATCAACTTCTTTTGGGGGGGAGGGTAGTTAGGTTTATTCATTTATTTATTTAATGAAGGTACTGGGGATTGAACCCAGGACTTCGTACACTCTAAGCGTGCACTCTACCACTGAGCTATACCCTCCTCCACCCTTGGTTTCTTCTTTGATATAAGGTACCTGAAACACCATGATGTCTAGACAGCAGACAAAGGTATAGAGGGAGGGGGAAGGGCTAGAAAGTTACAAAGTGAAAAGGATGTGAAAAGAAGAGAAAAGGGAAGTTAGAAGCACCAAAGATGATCTTTCCCTATTTGCCAGTTTGGCGGAAGTGTACTTCTTGTCATACTCTGTCCCTGTTCTGTCATTCCTGGAATAAGACTGAATTGGGGGCAGTCTGAGATGAGCTACTGGGAGCCCCAGTCACACCTCTCTCAGACAGTCATGATGTCTCTGCTTTAGTTTGCACCAGGAGAAGACAAAACTAACATTTATTGCTTCATCTCCAGAAAGACCCTCAGTCCCTAAGCCAGTGAGCTTAGTAAAGTCCCTCTGAAGCCAAAGGCATGAGCTCAGTGAAGCTTGCATAGCCATTACCCAGGCACTGCACTCCACTGGGACCTGGATGAGACAGTATGTCTGGATTTGCTCTAGCCCATCCCTGAACAGTCCAAAGCGGGCCACCAGCATCATCTTCCTAGACAAAGGACAGTCTGTTCCAAAAGGACACCTTCGATAGTTGAATTCCATCTGAGTGAATTTATAGCTCCCCAACCCCCCACCTCCACCCAGAATTCACATATACATGAAGTCATTCTGATCACACTGCCATGGCTAACAAAAAAGGCAACATACATGCTGGTTAGTAAATACAATCAGAATGGATCCTTCCTCCCTTCCTCACACACACACACACACAAACCTTCATTGAAGGAATGTTGAAAATAATCAAGATCTGCTGAGCTTGGCAGTTTCCAATAGGTTTCATCTAGCAAGGTGTCCAAGTGAAGTGCATTGCCAACAGTGCAGGAAAACTCATTCCACAGAAGTACACTGAACTCCTAAATGTCACCAGTATGGTTCCATAGTCTTCTACCAATGATTGAAAATCCAGCCTGTATTTTCTCTTTTGCCCAGGTAGGCAGTGTTCCAACATCCCCTAGTCTCTAACCTCATTTTTCCGTGCAACAATCCATCAGTAGTGCTACTGATGAAACAAACACCCCACCCCACCCCCAATGACTAGTGGTGTCGACATTTGTCTCAACAATGGATAGGATTTCTAAAGAAATTCCCCCTTAGTGGGAGATCTGACAAGCCTGGGTCTGGAGTAGATGCCTCTCTCCTCTCCTCAGGTCAGGCCAACTGAGAGCTCAATTTGTTGCCGTAGGTAGGAGTTTCTCAAGCTGGCCGCAGAGCTGGAACTGAGGACAAATTTATAACTAGAAGCAAATAACAAGCCTAGAGGAATTTGCTACCTGTCACAAACCAGGCCAGACTTCCTGTGTTAACTCTGCAGCTGCTGGAAGATTCTAAACACTGCCTTCCTTCCCCTTTTAAACTACGGTCTCTTAAAAGACCTTGCCAATGCTCGAAATCTCTCCTTAGGAAGATGAGAATTGCCATTGTTGGGAAAAACTTTTTCGACAGATACTTTAGTTCTGACCACATCCAAGGCACTGCAGGCCTGCAAGAGGTCAAAGACATTGTCTGGCGTTTTCCTACTCAGCAACTACATAAACTTTTCACAGTTGAAGTAACATTGCTTCTACGAACCCTTCTGACTTGTTTTTCTACTTGAGTTGGGGAAAATTTGACCAGGTTAAACAAATATGCAGTCACAGACACTGGCAGACATTAAAAACAACCCAACCCAGTGTAAGCTCTAAAAGACTGCCACTGGGAACAGGAGCATGAGAAAGCATCGTTAGCTCTGTGGATTACCTCTGTTTTCAGGCTTTTAGTTTACAAAATGTTTTTTGTAAGGAAAAAATGAAGGAATCTGATAGCTGAAGGCCTCCTGACAACAGGGATGAGATAGATTTCCACCTGGCTCCATCAGATCTGGCCTGGTTTGTGACAGGTAGCGAATTCCTTTAGGTTTTTATATTTGCTTTTAGCTATAAATATGTCCTCAGTTATAAGTAATGTGCTTGCTTGTAAACTGGGACACTCTATGGGACCAGGTCCTCTTGATCCTTAGAAAAAGAATGATCTCTTTTAGAGGGTGGGAAAGAGTCTGGGGTTTTGTTTCAACCACTTGAGAGCGACCTGGTATGCAGCTTTGCCAAGGTGCTCCTCTCGGCAGACTCCGTATTACACAGTGCAGGGCCCTTGACCCAGTCGTTGAATTCCGTATACGGGTAATCTAGAGAACTTGAAGTCAGCTGAATCAGGTCAGGAAAAGAGAACTCAGGAATATAAGCTGAACGAGTTTGGTTAGCTCATAACAGAGAAGGTTAGGGGAAGGCAGTAAATATTTCCTGGAGTTTAAAGGGCAAAAGGAAGCAAGTGAGGTCATGATAAAACTATTACCTAATATTGGCCAAAGAGAACGGTCTTCAGATTCTGCAAAGGACAGACTCCAGACGACTGAGGCAATATTAAATCCCTGGATGGATAAGGAGATAAAGAGCACTACTGAAGCGTTCTAAATGTGTTCAAATCTCTCTCTTAGCCCTGGTGAATTTCATGGGGCGTCAGGGGGCGGTGACCGCTGGGTACTTGGCAAGGGAAGGGGTACCTTAAAGGAGCAGCATAGGGTTTTGGTGATTCCCCTGCTTACCACAAGGGGAAAATCCCTTACAGGCTGGTTTGCAAAATATCATTTGCTATTTAGTCAAGACTGCCAAGAAAACTGTTGGAATTCTTAGTAATTAGTTCAGCAACTTGGCTTGAATACAAAATCCTGGCTCTGAAGGGATCCCCATATCAGCTGCAGTGCCAAAAAAAAATACCTCACTTTAATCTCGACTCTCAGAGAATTCCCAGCGGCAAGCTGCTGAGATGACACCTTTCTACACAGGCTCTGGATAAAGAAGGTGCCCCAGATATTACCCAATTCAAATGTCTTAGGAAGGGACATACTGAGTGTCTTAGAGCTTGTTTCCCTCTGTACTCCCAGACATATGACATGGAGCACACTTTCTACAGCAACGGAGAGAAGAAGAAGATTTACATGGAAATTGATCCCGTGACCAGAACCGAAATATTCAGAAGCGGAAATGGCACTGATGAAACATTGGAAGTACATGACTTTAAAAATGTAAGTTGGATATTTCCCCCCTCAGGCTTCCCACAGAATATTAGAACATTTGAGTCAAGTCAAAAATAGCCGGTAGCCTCCATTTAATTGATAAGACAAAGCTCTCCCTTTGAATTCAAATTTTGCCAGCCTGGGGCCCTGACAGATCATGAAACTCATTAATTGTGGCTCTTTCAGGAAGGTTGTTTTTTTTTTTTTGGTCTGTTTTATAGGGATACACTGGCATCTACTTTGTAGGTCTTCAAAAATGCTTCATCAAAACTCAGATTAAAGTGATTCCTGAATTTTCTGAACCAGAGGAAGAAATAGATGAGGTATGTAAGAGTAATAATAGTGGCGGTAAAAACTATCATTTTATTGGGTGCTAACTGTGTATCAGACATTGTACTAAATATTTTACTCTCATTTGATTCTCACTACGACCCTCTAGATAGGTACTATTATCATCCTCATTTTCAGAAAGTGACTTGCCCAAGGTTACACAGCTGGTGAAGAGCAGACTGGGGTCTTGAACTCAGGCCTTTCAAAAAACTAAAGTTCATGCTTTTTAGTGCAACACTAGACTTTTAGACCTGGGTATCCATTAACAGTATGTCCATTTGCTTCCAAACCAAAGATGTCTAGTAAAAGGGGTGAGCCAGAGGAACAAAATCAATCCTGTCTAAGATGAAGTCCTAAAAAAAAGTCCCAAGGCCACCTGGGATCCTTACCACTTTTGTCACACTGTGACATTCACCTATTTTAAACATTTCAGTTCCTTCACCGTACCATTTTATGCTGGGCTGCTAACGGAGTAATCCACCTTTACCCTCACTAGGACAGGCAAAAGCGAAGAAGGTGAGAAGCACAGTGTAATACAAATTCTCTGAAAACACACTGCTGGGCCAGGATGGGGTAACCTAGGGGACCAGAGCAATCGCACATGGCCCCTGAAGGCCTAGTGGGAGGTGGGAGATGACTGCCTAAAATAAGCTATCAGTAAAGCCCTTTTAATATTTTCCCTGATATTCTGTCTGTAATTACGGTGTGTTGTTCTCAGTGGGGGAAAAGGGAGAACCCTGGCTAAGGCCATATTACGACTGCATACCCCAACTGTAGCCAGGAAGAGACAAATGTTGGGTGGTTTGGTTTGTGTTAGTGTCAACTGGCAAATCTAAAATGAGATTATGTCAATGCCCCAGTGACTTCTCTATATATTACAAATACCTCTTTTTCTTTTCTCTCTCCCCGCTTCTTTTTCACTTTTCTCCTTCCCAACTCTCTTCATCTTAATTCTCATCCACTCATTTAGCTTTTTCTTTTACTTTTCTCATTTTTGGGGGGGGTGGTATGGGGAGCACTTTTTTCTTTTCCTTACCTGAATCACAGGCTTGTCACTGGCTCCCACAGACATGCCACTAGTATCTTCACGGCCAGAGAAGTTATAGACCTTTGTTACTAAGATTTCTAAGAAAAAGAAGATTTCACCCAAAGGTGATGCTCTGCTCCCGAGGTCTATGGCAGTGAAAAGTTTTGGAGATTTTTTTTTTCCCAAAAATCAGCCTAAGTTAGATGCATCTGAGGAACAGAACGAGTTGCAGGATATTAGGGATTACTATCCGAGGCAAGAGTAAGATGAAAGGAGAATCAATAGGCTAAAAAGCTATTCTATCCAATACCCTGTGCTGCTTCTTATAGAAAATAATATAATCATTTGAGTAGGGCCAGCCAGCAATGACATCCCGAACTGACACAGCAGGATTTATTTTTTCTGAAAAAGTTAAAGGCAATGGCCCATAATGTCTCATTTTGGCCCTAACTTATTCTTCAGTTAATTTTGGCAGATCGTCGAAATAACACAAGTATTCATCTCATGATAGTGAGATTGCTTTCTCGTCAAGAAAATCCTATTTTTTATATTCAGGCTACAGATTTTTTTTTATGAGAGAAATTTGTGGTCCTGAATGACAAAAAGCCTCTTATTCTGTACTTCTCTCTCCACTGTATCTATGGTTTGTGCATGTTAAACATGCAGGGCAAGTATATAAATAGCCCTGATTTTGCTAACAAAGCGAGTCCGCGTACCAACCTCATTTCATATAGTCCCTTTCAATGCATCCCAAGGTCTTTACAGACTCAAGGACAAAGGTGCTAAAACTGGAGAGTTTTAAATGACTAGGAGAAAAATTATACAAAGCCATATTTCAAAGAACAAATAAAAACACTGAAATCATAAAGCTAGAAAGAAACAAAAGAGAGAAGGAAGAGCCTTATTAAGACTCAGGAAAAAAATGTCAAAACCCAAGAGACAAATGAGTAAGAGCTAGGTATACAAGACAACAGCTTCCAACACTAAAAACAGAAGAGAAGGCAGTGTTCTTGACAGTATAAGAAAGACCACCTAAACAAAAAACTCTCTGTGAGACAAACTCTAAGCATCTAGAATGAAAGGACTAAAGTAAAAGTAAAGTAAGGCCAGTGAAGTCACAAGGAAGGGACATGATTTTAAAACACACAGGGAACTATATTCAATAGCTTGTAATAACCTATTATGAAAAAGAATATATATGTATAACTGAATCACTATGCTGTACACCAGAAGCTAACATAACCTTGTAAATCAACTATACTTCAATAAAAAATTGATTAATTAAAAATAAAGAAATAAATAAAAGACATCTTTTGTACTACTACTATACCATTAACAGGCAATCTTGCAAAAACCAAAGCATTAAATTCAGTTGCAATTTAACTGATTTCACCAATTTAGATTATAGGAGTTTTTCCCAGCTTGAGATCAAATTTAGCTTGCAACCCTTAGTCATAAGCCTGAAACAAGGCAGGCACTCACAACATTTATTTGAAAAAAAGGAAACAAACTTAAATCACTCAGGGTTCCAGAAGCTCAAATCAAAACATACATGGCCCAGTGGGAGGCCCAGGAAATGATGGAGAGCCTTCCTGACTTCAAGTGAAAGGGTAACAGAGAAGGCTCCTGTTTCAGTTAGCAGCCTTACTTTAGACCTGAGAGGGAGGGACCAGTTGTTACTCTCCCAAGGGCGCCTACTGTATGCAAGGCACGGAGCTAGTTCACTGGCAGCCCTGGGACTGGAATTTTTATTCAGATTCAAAATATGGTGTTCCCCAGTGTCCAATAATGTCTCACTCATTGTATTAATGTCTTTGCCTATCTTCACCCTGAACCACTTTCTTCTCTCAGAATGAAGAAATTACCACAACTTTCTTTGAACAGTCAGTGATTTGGGTCCCAGCAGAAAAGCCTATTGAAAACCGAGACTTTCTTAAAAATTCCAAAATTCTGGAGATTTGTGATAATGTGACCATGTATTGGATCAATCCCACTCTAATAGCAGGTATGGCACCCTCCTCTTCCTCCTCCTCCTCTTCTTCTTTCTCCTCTGCTTTCCAAAGTCTGTAACAGGTTAATGTTCGCAGTATTCAGAGACTACGTTTCTAGGAAAACAAATGGTCAGCTTATATCTTCTTAGATGAAACTGTATATGCTGACTGCCAGTGAGGAGGGAATTTTTCACAGCCAAGTTGTAAATCAGATAAATTAATGCTGACAGGCTTTTAAATATCCCAGCAAAGGTAACGCCACCCTAATGTGAGTAGTGATAGCAAAAAGCTAATCTGTCTCTCTTTGCACATCTATATTCATTGCAGTCGGGCTACCAGACTATTGCTCAAACCACTGTGTGCCCAACCCAAGAAGGGAGGAAAGAAGAGCCAACAGTGATGCTCTGTTGTCTCAAGAAGGGTGCTCTATGTCAAATGGTGGCGTTCTCCCCAGAAGATAGGACAGTCACTGCAATGCAAATTTCTTCATGGCTGTTTTAGGAATCACTATAAAAGTAATTGAGGGCTAATGGTGCAGAGTAGAAGAGTTCAGCTCTCAACTTCCAGCCAGCCCACAGAGGGGGCAAAAGTCCCTGGACATCTTATTTTGCCCAGCTAGCACAGAATTTGGCCTCCCTCATTCTGGATAGCATAGATTACTCTATTACTCAAGAGAGACCACTCTAATCAATGAGGATGTCTGTTGGTGCTCTTTGCCCTTAAAAAAAAAAAGGCAACCAAATGCAGTGTGGTATCCTGGATTGGGTACTATGACTTCTGCCTGAGCATCCTTCTTCTAAAAGACATTACTGGAAATAATGATGAAATCTGAATAAAGTCTGTAGTTTAGTTAATTATACTGTACCAATACTAATTTCTTAGTTTTGATCATGGTACCATGGTTGTGTAAGATGTTAACATTAGGCGAAACTGGCTGAAAGGTATACAGAAATCCTGTACTCTCTTTGCAACTCTTCTGTAAATCTAAGCTTATTTCTAAATACAAAGTTTTTTTAAAAATTAAGACAGGAAAGAGAAGGGAGAAGGGAGGAGGACAAAGAGCACTGAATCAAATCAGGCAACCAACAAATATGTACTGGGCACCTACCATGGGTAAAATCACTGTGGGAGACACGGAAGTCCCCTGTCCTCAGGTTTTAATTTAGTATGCTAATAAGGCAAAGCAGTAAGTGATGCCAAATGAGCAAGGACGTTTGTGTACATAGGAATGGTCAGATTTGTTTTGGAAGATCTCCTTAAAATAACAGCTGCAGAAGCTTCAAAAAGTGGTTCAGGCATGCCTAAATGAGGGCTGTGAGAAGACAATGAAAATCTCTATCCCTCAATGCTTGTCCCTCAAGCAAAGCAGTGGCATCACAATTTTGTATTTATTACCTTAGTTTCAGAGTTACAAGACTTTGAGGAGGATGGTGAAGACCTCCATTTTCCTACCAATGAAAAAAAAGGCATTGAACAAAATGAGCAGTGGGTGGTCCCTCAAGTGAAGGCGGAGAAGACCCGTCACGCCAGACAAGCAAGTGAGGAAGACCTCCCGATCAATGACTATGTGAGTTATCTTTATGCTATTCTAGTTAGAGGAAAACCAAAGAGCCCACATAAAACTCCCTACCTCTCAGATCAAAGTCATTGAAAGAAGAATGTTCATTGTTTTAACAAAAAAAAAGTATTTTAAGAAATTTGGAATCCTTAGAAAGCTCATTCAAAATCAACCTTGATCTCTATTGATGTATCTCTAAGATCAGGCTCGGGAACTGAATTTCTCACCAGTCCCAACTCCATATAGTCTTATGGTCCTCCCCGGCTTGGTGGACCTTTTCCAAGTGAACCTTCCCTTCCAACACTGGCTTCTTCTTCTTTCAGACCGAAAATGGCATAGAATTCGACCCCATGCTGGATGAGAGAGGTTATTGTTGTATTTACTGCCGTCGAGGCAACCGCTACTGCCGCCGCGTCTGTGAACCTTTACTAGGTTACTACCCGTATCCATACTGCTACCAGGGAGGGCGGGTTATCTGTCGTGTCATCATGCCTTGCAACTGGTGGGTGGCTCGCATGCTGGGGCGGGTTTAACAGCAAGTTTGAGCTCGAGTGCTTAAACTTCTGGCAGCCAACATATAATAAATGCATGCTATTCAATGAATTTCTGCCTATGAGGCATTTGGCTCCTCGTAGCCAGTACTCCAGAATTACTTGTAGGTAATTCTTCTCTTCATGTTCTAATAAACTTCTACATCATCATCAATGGCCTGATTGCTGCTGAGCACACTGGGTAAGTGTTTGCTGAGACTATTTCCTTCAGCTGAAATGAAGCAGATCTATCTCACATGGAGGACGACTATGAAAAGTTGCATTTCATCAGGCTTGGGGAGTAAGAAAGGGCAAAGCATAAGGATTCTCAAATACCGTATTCTCTAGGCTGTATTGAGAAAGTGGAAATAGGGGCTGCTGCTAAAATGTCCCCATAAGTGATGCGTAAAAACTTGTCCTTTTGTGCATAGCCCCAGTGTTTAATTATCTGAGAGACATATTGTGGACTTGCTTAAGCCACTAGACAGGCAGTGAGTCACAGCAGGCCAACACTAAAATATTCCAAGTGCTCAGACTCAGCAAAGGAGAAAGCTAACCCAGCAAAAAGGGGCCCAGGCTCCCCTCCTGTGAACAAGAACTCAACTTTGGACAAAATCAACACTTCATAACCTTTAGGTATGACTTCTCTTTAGAGCAATGTCTAGTTACATAACACTCCGAGGCATTGTCTGGAAAATGGGGACCCATAAATATCATTCACAGAAACAGGTATTACAGGACATCACTGAGGAGTCAAATGGGATTTTTTGCCTCCAAAATGATGAGAAACTAGCAGTATGCCACTTTTTTAAAGGAAGGATAAGGTCTCGTTTCCGATCACCTGATACTTCACTTGGGAATGGGGAAACGAGCAAAGGGGTGAGGGAGGAAAAGAAGTAGTTAGCGGGGAATGTTGAAATTGGAGTCCCAGCCAGTTCTAGTTTCAACATTCCTGTTCTACCCACCTGTCACGCCTTCTAGTTTCACTTGAAGGTAGCCCCTTCATTGCTCCACTTCAAAGTTACTATGTCATGAAAATATCTGTCTGGCACTTTCCATTTTCAAAGAGTACAATCTTCATCAAGATGCCTGTGGGCAAGAAGTCATTTTCCCCCATTTAACACTTGAGGAAGCAAATAGAAGCAGCTTTGCCCAAGGCTGAGTTAAGATTAGCCAGTCATTAATTGATAATTAGTATACATGCTGTACTTGGATTACCAATTTTCACAGAATGAGAGCACAATGAAACAGATCTAACAATGCACCATTACTGAAAATATTTTCTTTTTCATTAATGATTTAGGGAAGACATTTGAGAATTCTGGAGTCCTTCAATTATCATAACAGGCATCAATTTCTGGTTGAAATAGAAAAATGGAAAGGATAGGAGATTAATTTGAGGTTGTATGGACTTTACAATGCTCTCTATCATTGTTAAATAAATTATTCATTTTTGACATTGGTTTTCAAGATCAGCCAATAATTTTAAATTCCTGAGACGCTCAATTTTCTACAGTCTACATTGTACTATATATACTACACTCTGCGGGGGATACAAATGAGGTAGAAGGCACGCTCCTTATTGCCAAAGAAAAAGAAGACACTCAAAATAGATAAGCCCATGTATAGAAACTTCTACACAACTAACTACAGTTGTATATGGCATGCTACATACACGTGCACGCACACACACACACACACACAAGAGGTATAGAAGGTTTCATGTCATATGTGAGGGCTGAGTTCCTACTCACATTATTTTAATTCAGGAAGCATTTCTTTTTTTAATTCTTGTTTTTTATTGAAGCATAGTTGATTTACAATGTTAGTTTCAGATATACAGCAAAGCCATTCAGTTATACATATACATACGTGTATATTTTTTTTCCAGATTCTTTTCCATTACAGCTCATCACAAGAAATTGAATACAGTTCCCTGTGCTATACGGGAAGCATTTCTTGTTCAAATGAGATACCTCGACCTCCACATCATTTCACAACACTGGGAAAATGTGATCCCCTTAATGAAGTAGACCACGACTTCAAAAGAAAATACAAGGATGTGCTTAAAAAAGCAGTCAAATCACCTCACTCTTAAGGGAAAAAAAAACCAACCAAAACAGCAAACAAACCCAAACACATGAGTCTGTTGCTTCATATAGGCCGAGGTCAGGTTGGACAAGAAGAAAGCAGGGTATCACTCTCCTGGGATAGATTTTTGCCCCTCATTGGCGCTCTGTGCAGACAGGCTCCTTACATCATGCCTGGTACTTTCCTCAGACCAACCCATTGAATCTAGAGCTGCCTGTCTGCCTTCTGCCACCCTGCCCTAACCCCAGGCTCCCCATCACAAGGAGTGACACAAAGTGACTCTGCTCTCCAGAGCCAGAAACCTTGTGGTAGTTCTGACGGATCCACGTCCTCCACTCCAGCCTCTCACCAAATACTTTCAGCTTCTTCCTCCTAAACCACTCTTCAGTGATGCTCTGGTCCAGGCCATGGGTTATTTCTTAGCACCGCTGATACCACTGCCTCCCTGCTGAAGTTCCCAGGCTACAGACTGAAGCTAGAATAAATTCTTTTATTTTTTCACATATAGATTTGATGAATGTCATTTTCTTTCCTGAAAGTCTATCACAGCTACTTAACTACATTAAAGATCGAGGCTAACTTGCATTCAGATAGTCCTTCCTCAAACCACCCTGAGACACCACCTCACACCCGTCTAATCCTCCGACTACCCTACCTACCCCATTTGTTTGTCTCAGGCACATTAGCTTACTGCTCTATTTGGGAAATCTTACCACCATCTCTGCAGGGTTTTCTCTCACTAAGTGGAAGAGATTAAAAACTCCCATTTTCCTTTTACCTAAACATGAAACCTAAATCTTCTCTACTTTATTCTCTGCCTGTATAAGTTACTATATCCCTCAATGCACATACTGTTTGTGTATGAGTTCAACCTACAAGTTCTAACAAAGGGCTAATATTCGCTCCCATTTCTCCAGAACTTTGCCCAGTATCAAAGGCATATAAGTGGCCTTTAATTGGTTTTTTTTAATTGAAGGTAATGAGAAAGAAGAGGGGGAAAGGCAGAAGAAAAAGAAGGGGTTGTAAGCGAGCCCAGCTACAAGGCTCTTCAGAATGTTATTACAAAAAGTTGGCCTTGAGCTCTGTTGAAATTTAGGATGAAAGTTCTTATCTTACTTAAATCCGTTTTTGCATTTCTTATCTTTTGACACAGTCTGTCTTGACAAGTATGAAGGATTCCTCTAATCCCAGAATAATCAAAAGCATCGATGATTGCCCACAGCTCGATGACCTAGTTCCATTATACAAATGCAGGCTTTTTGCATTTTCTTCTTAACTTTCAATGACTCCATATATGAAAAAAAAAAAAGGCCAAAAGCACATCTGCCGTGAAATCATAAGAACCACCATATTACCTTTCAGATTTTGGGGAATCTAAACTCCAATCAAAAAAAAAAGTCAGGAGAGACGAAGTTATCCATTGCTCTCCCCCAGCACAGGGCACTATGCATTAGTGCGCTCAGCGCCCTGCCTGCACACCTAAAATGGCTCTTTGGCAGGGCTAGGGGCAAAGGAAATCTATTTTGAGTCTTTATATATAAGGCTCACTGTCTGGCTGAGTCCAAAACTGTCACTTTGGCTCCTAAAGTCTAACGCTGAAAGCTTACTGAGATAAATATGGACCTTCTCATTCAGGCTGTCAGGAAATGCGTGGATCTATTTTATTTATACCCTTAAAAACTGATTTCATTTTGGCTTTCCTTTTTTGAAGAAGTTTCATTCCAGGACTTCATTTTGCTGACAACAGGCTGTTCCTTAACAAGAAAGAAAAGTGGCTCCATATTAAAAACCAGGTATGAATGTACACACAAAAAATATGGTCCGTAAGTGGCTCATTCCAAAGTCCAGCTTCTAAGTCTCCTCTGGGTCTCTTTCATTAATTTACATGAAAGCTACTTACCTGAGGACTGCAATTAAGATCAAGAGTCAACTCTGGCCTTTGTAGCCTAATGAGTGAACAGTCACTTGTATATGTACTGCTTGGACATTTGGGTTCCATCTGCCTTATTTTTCCTTCCGTTCATTTATTGGACACTCGGACCTATTGTCCTTGCTAGAAAAAGCTCAGAAAGAGAGAGGTCCATTGAACCAAGGGAAACCAACCAAGCCACAATAAATCCCTCAACCAAAACAAACAAACGGACAAAGCCAGCAAGTCCCTAGTGCTGAGATGAACTCTGTCTAACAGTGATATGACTAGATTGTTTATATTTCGCCTTCCCTGCTGATGCTATCATTCGCCATTCTGAACTTTCCACTGACAGCAGTATTTCTACTGGTCTTATAGAGATGTTGGCTACTGAAACACAATTCAGGCTCATACCCATATCAATCATCAGTGAGCCAAGAACAAGACACTTGCCAAAGGTAGGGAATTTAGAGTACAGTTTCCAGCTATTGTTGATTTGCTGAAGCGGACAGCAAGGTGACTAGCTACAAATAGAACACAGGGATTTGAGCTTGTTTATCTTGCAGAGGTGCCCCTGTGGCATACTGACCCCCAAATTCACTGTGTCCACTGAAATCCATCCCTTGGGGTGGGGTTGCCTCTCTACAGCTTTGTGGCTCTAGCCCTATGTGTCTGTCTGGTGCACAACTGTCATGTAAATCCCGCATGTTCCCATTAATAGCATTGCATGTTTTAGTTATGCTAAATCATATCCTGTTCAAATCAGAATGGTTTGTGGTTGACCCTTTACATTTCCTGTTCCTCCAAACTACTTCTCTCTTTGAAAGTGTCTTTCTCTTAGGTCGTGCCAATCTTGGGTAACTGTCACACTAATACAAACAAGATACAGGAATCTAGCTGTGACATAGCAGATAGGTTAGCCTCTTGTCTAATCATTTACAATTTATTTGGCATAATCAGATCTGTGCCCTGTAAACAACTGAAAGTATGAGACAGATTTTTTTTTTCTGGAAGGATTCAGGAGAACAAGAATTCTCCATCTGCTCTTAGAGATGGAGAACTTCTCTCTTTCAAAAGTCAATGGTGACAGTTTTCTCAGAATTAACCTACCGATTTTGCTGAGAGATACCACAAAGCCCTGATTTCCCGAAGATATTTGCCTTCTGACTCCTTAG